CGAGTCCTAGACATTGTTGAAATGGTAGCAAGTTTCTTCGGTAAACAATTATTTCTCGTCTAATGCACACAGTATGGTTTTAACCTAATTCTTCTTCTCATTTGCAGGATCATTATGATTCGCATTGGGAGTATCCACCGATTACTGTTGATGAATGTATTCTGTCGAGTTTAAAAACCTACAACTGGTCAGAATACTTGGGAAGAAGGCCACAAGAGAAAGATCTTGCGGTTTACGTCTTGGGAAAACGTTGGTCGCTTGAAGACTGCAACAATCTCGTCTGAGACATGTTTCTATATTCCAAAACTTGAGATGATTAAGGAATTGTCAACCTTCTTTCGGTGCATCAACCACATGCCAACTCGTATTTGATTAGGGATTTTAGTTTTAGTCATTAGATGTGTTCATTTATGTAATAGGATTCTTCCAACTTCCATATGTATCTGTCTGTTTCCCCCAAGAAAATGCAGATTCTTGTTGATCAAGATATTATCGTTTCTTCCGACCAAAGTTGTTGTATCCTCTAGCGTTTTGTCCAGACGATGGGAGTTTCTTTGGATGTGGTTGCCAAAACTTGAGTTCATTGGTAGAGATTGTTCACTGTCTGAGTGCGAGAATATAAGGTATTTTCTTGAAAGAAATCTAGCTATCGAAAGCTTCCGTCTCAACTTAGCTCATTCACCTTTTAAACCAGAAGATGTCAAATTGTGGGTTTTAGTTGCAATTTCTCACTACCTACGTGAGCTGGATATTTTATATCATGCTTATCCGGACAAGCCAAACATTTTGCCTAGAAGCTTGTATACCTCCAAATCGCTAGTGACTTTGAATCTTGAAGGCAAGATTCTCTTGGATGTTCCTCGTATGGTTTCTATGTCCTCTCTAACAACTCTGCAACTTCGAGAAGTGATATACTTTGACGGAGAATCTCTTGGACGGCTTCTATCTATTTGTCCTATTCTTAAAGATCTATTGTTGGACTTTAGTGACACTCACAATATGGGAATGATCACCGTTATTGTCCCGTATTTGCAGAGTTTATCTATCTATATACCTTATGATGGTTTAATCGATGGGTTAAAGGTAGATACTCCTTCTTTGAAGTATTTCAAAATTGAGAATTATAATGATGAGAATCATTCTTGTTTAATTGAGGATATGCCTAAGTTGGAAGAGGCATATGTAGATGTCTTCTTACCTGATCTCGAGAGTCTTATCGGATCAATATTATCTATCAAGCGTCTTACGATAGCTTCAGAGGTAAACCAATGTCCATCTTTATCAGTTGCAAATCTTTTGTTTATAAAATCCTCTGTTAATTAGTACCTTTTCATCATGGGCAGGCTGTGTACGTTGGCGGTTTTGTCTTCAACGATCTCGAACATTTGAAGCTATGTGTGGGATCAGACTATGCGGCTAATCTCCTTGTCCGGTTGCTCGAAGGTTCTCCCAACTTGCGAGTACTAAACCTCTTTGAAATGGTAGTGTGATCAACCTCTTAGAATATAAACTATTATATTTTGTCTAATACACAATGTGGT